AAATACAATCTACTAATTAAACTGGCTTTCTGACTATTCTTATAATCCGATGATTTATTATTTTGATCTGAGGCTAAATTCTTTGCCACTGGTATTTAAAATACAAGCAGAACAACTGTGGTGGACAGGTGCACTGCTTCCAAACTTATTCAGATTAGCAATGATGGTTTAGCAATTGAAAGTTAGCTAAAACAGAGTGTTAGTGATTTGGACAAGTCTCATCAATATAAACGATATGCCAGGTAAAGTACACTCTTAATTATAACACTGACACAGTAGTGGAAAGAAAGGACTCAAACATGGCAATAATCATGAGGAGAGCACGATTATTTAGGCCTGTCCCAAATTCAACGCAGACTGAACAACTATTTCTCAGATGAATAAATATCAGGGACAGTAAATTAAAAGAAAATATAAGTGACTAAAACATATTTTTAACAATGCAGCAACTTAACTATCAATATTAAAATTAGTTTCCATTAATTGGTTATCTTATGTCACTTATTTATTTATTTAAACCAAATCCTGGGCAACCAAAATATGACTTTGAGTCTATCCCACCTGAATTTCAGAACCATCTCAGGAACAGGTTTGAGGCTTTGAACACTAATGAGCGAAGGCCAGAGGAGCTGTGGGAGGATATCAAGGGTATCACCCAGGAAGAGTGCAAACGGTCATTGCAAAGACAGAAGAGGAAGAAAAGACCAAAATGGATGTCAGAAGATACTCTGAAAATTGCACTGGAGCGCAGAGAAGCCAAAGCACAAGGAAGAATTCAAGATACTAAAGAGTTGAATAGAAAATTTCAAAAGGCAGCACGGGATGACAAAGCAAAATATTACAATGAAATGTGCAAGGAGTTGGAGTCAGAAAATCAAAAGGGACGAACTCGCTCAGCATATCTTAAGCTCAAGGAACTGAAGAACAAATTCAAACCTCGAGTTGCTATAATCAAGGATGCTTTTGGCAGAATGTTAAAGGATCCCGGAAGTATTAAAAAAAGATGGAAGGAATATACTGAGTCACTGTATCGAAAGAAATTGGAAGACACAGAAGAATTTCATGAAACAGCATATGAGCAAGAGCCTATGGTGATGAAAGAAGAAGTTCAGGCTGCTTTGAAGGAAATGGCAAAAAATAAGCCTCCAGGAATAGATGGTATACCAACTGACATATTTCAGTTAACAGATGCTGCCCTGAATGTACTCACCAAGTTGTGCCAAGAAATCCGGAGAACGACCACTTGGCCAACTGACTGGAAGAGATCGATATTTGTTTCTATCCCAAAGAAATGTGACCCAACAGAATGTGGAAACTACAGAACAATCTCACTGATTTCATATGCAAGCAAGATTTTACTGAAGATTATCCAAAAACGAACGGAACAGCACATCACCAGAGAACTGCCAGAAGTCCAGGCTGGGTTTAGAAAGGGTCGTGGTACTAGGGATATTGTAGCTGATGTTAGATGGATCTTGGCTGAAAGCAGGGAATACCAGAGGAATGTTTATCTGTGTTTCATTGACTATGCAAAGGCATTTGACTGTGTAGATCATAACAAACTATGGCTGACTCTGAGAAGAATGGGAATCCCAGAGCACTTGATCGTTCTAATGCGAAACTTATACTTGGACCAGGAGGAAGTCCAGGAGCAAGGGAACACTGCATGGTTCAAAATTGGGAAGGGCGCACGCCAGGGATGCATCCTATCTCCATACCTTTTCAACCTATATGCAGAACAGATTATCCGGGAGGCTGGGCTCTATGAGGAGAAATGTGGGGTCAGGATTGGTGGACGATTTATCAACAATCTGCGTTATGCGGATGACACAACCCTGCTTGCTGAAACTGAAGAGGACCTGAAGCGCCTGCTGCAGAGTGTCAAGGACTGCAGCCTCCAAAATGGATTGAGGCTCAATGTCAAGAAGACAAAGATTCTCACCACTGGACCAACAGGCAGCATCAGGATGATTGGTGAAGAGATTTGAGATTGTACACAGCTTTAATTTGCTTGACTCCACAGTCAACAGTCTTGGCACCAGCAGCCAGGAAATTAAAAGGCGCATTGCCATGGGAAAGTCTGCTGTTAGGGACCTCTCCAAAGTACTGAAGACCAATGGTTTCTTTCTGGAAACTACGGTGCATCTGATACAGGCCAGGGTCTTCGCAATCACTTGTTATGCATCAGAGAGTTGGACAATAACCAAGGAGGACAGAAGGAGAATTGATGCCTTTGAGCTGTGGTGCTGGAGAAGAGTATTGAGAATACCATGGACTGCTAGGAAAACAAATAGATTTGTCCTGGAAAGGGTTAAACCAGGTGGCTCCTTGGATGCAAGGATTCTGAGGCTCCGTCTAACATACTTTGGACATGTTGTGAGGAGAGACCGGTCCTTAGAGTGTGACATCATGCTTGGGAGGGTGGAGGGACGGCGCAGGAGAGGAAGGCCCTCTATGAGGTGGATTGATTCAGTGGCTGGGATAATTGGGATGGGAGTGTCAGAGACAGTGCGATTGGCACAGGACAGAGCGGAGTTTAGGGCTGCTGTCCATAGGGTCGCTATGAGTCGCAGGCGACTCGACGGCACATAACAACAACAACATGTCACTTATACACAAAGTGATAACCTTACGTTACAAGAGAAATGGATGATGTTATTAGGTGCTACTGAATTAAGACTGACAGCAACTCTATGAAAACACGTAAAAACTTTCCCTATCCTGTGCCATCACTAGGATTTCCTGCAACCTCAAGCCCATTGCTGTATTCATTTCAATACACTTCACTGAAGATCTTCCTCTCTTTTGCTTTCTTACCTTTTGCAGTATGGTGTCTCCGTCTAAGGATTAACCCCTTCTTATAATATGTCCAAAGTATATAAAGTAGTTCACGATCCTTGGCTCTAAGGAGCACTATGTTATACTTCCTCTAAGACAGATTTTTCTTTTACGGTCACTATGAGTCGTCTACAACTCGATGGCATCAAACAACAACGACAATGACAAAGAGAGAGCTACGTAGCCCTAGTGGAAAGGAAACTATGCTACCAAGCTGAAGGTGAGTGATTTTCATCTGCGGCCCTCGGCCAAGTTAAAATTGTTTTCCTGTCAAACATTCTTCTAGGTGGTATAGCACTGGTCTGTGTGTTGCTGTACAGAGGTAACTTGTGGTTGCTGTGATGCTGAAGACTGTGACAGTGATGTGCCAACCGTGATAATGGGTACCCATGGTGGACAGTTTTGGCTGGAGCTTCCCGACTAAATCAAGCCTGGAAGAAGGAGCGGCATCCACTTCCAAAATGGCTTGCTTCCGGAAACGCTATATACAAACAGTGCTCAGGTCATTTGTTCATCGGGTCGCTATGAGTCGTCTACGACTTGATGGCATCAAACAACAACAACAACAACAACAACATATTCAATATCCTTCTCCGACAGCACAAATGAGGGTCATTAATTCTTTTATAGATGTTCACTGTACAACAGAAGCATGTGAAACACCCTGTTTTGCGTCAGGTGCATCTTAGTCTTCAAAATGACATTCTCACTCTTTGATATTGTAAAAAAAGTTCCTTCAACAGTAGATTTCTTCAATGAAAACATTTTTTTATTATTTGATCACTGCTACTATGGGTGTTGATTGTGGATGTAAGTAAAAGGAAATCTTCAACAACTGTTGCCCATGGTGAAATGACAAAAGACTTCGGGTTCCTTCAGGTGGAGATTTAATACTCAAGGCTTTTGTCTTTGATCTGCATTAGGTGCTTTAAGTATTCACCTTTAGTATATAAAGTTGTGCCCTCTGCATATGATTGTATGAAACACAATGTAAATGAAAGATTGTATAAAACAATGTATATGAATGAAGCATAAAGATTTTATTATATGAAAATTAATAAAAAATATTATAAAGAAATAAAGTATGTTGTGTCTTCTCTAATCTTGATGCCACATTCTTTCTCCTTCACATACTAGTTTCTCAAATTATCTGCTCAGCACACAAATTAATTAATTATTGAAAAAAGGATAAGGCACTAGCACACATCTTTCCTGAGCCATACAGTATCCTCTTAATTCAGATAAATAAATCATATCTTAGTCTATAAACAAGAGTTCTAGGATTCTGAATCTTAATGTTATCATCATTTATTATGATCCACACAGTCAAGTGCTTTTGCACAGTCCATAAAACCCAAGTAAATAGTTTTACAGCAGTGGTATCTCACTCGTTTCAATTGATTTTTATATTCTAGTAGATCTCTGCCGATGGACTGTTCCAATCATGTGTGAATAATCTTCAGAAAGATTTTATACACTTATCTGACATTAAATATACTGTTCAGTAATTTCTATATTCTGTTGGATGAGCACATATGGATCTCCTCTAGTCTGCTGGCTTGGAAACCATCTTCTAAATTTCATGATGTGTATATTAGAACAAGAGTTGTAATATAGGCCTTCTGATTCAAAATAGCCAAAAACTCTCAGCTCAGTAATGCCTACGAGGTCAAACTTTACGTGGTCCATTTAATTTCTGACAACTTTTAATCTTCCTACAGTCATATCTCATACATTCCATGTTGAAATTATTAATGGATATTTCATCATTTTGCTTTTGCCAGACCAGCAAATGAAGGTCCTTCAGGGAAAGCTTCACTCATTCTTTAAGGTCAGTATGTTCTGGGTCCTTTCCAACCAGGAGCTCATATTTGACATTATATCCAACAACATTCTTCTACTTTTCAGAGTTGTTTCCAAAGGCTTCTGAAGTGGACTGTCAATCCTATAAGTTCTGCTGAAACTTATCCCCTAAGGGTAGCTCTGATGGTATTTTTATTTACATACTTTGGACATATTATCGAAAGGGCCAAATCTCTGGAGAAGAACATTATTCTTTGTTCACTGGTTAACTCTTTTTAAACTAGAAGACACAGTAAATGATTTTTGGTTATCTATGGCTTAGACACCTAAGGATTCTAAGTAAATTACTCATTACTCACCTATATTCCACCGCCTATATTTAGCATCATCAAACTGCTGTCTCAAGACTAGGAAATCTATAACATCAGGCATATCATGGTATCTGATGATAAAGAGAAAAAAAATTATTAGGTCAAACAATAAGATAAAAAAGATCAAATTTATATGAAACTTAGGAAAAAAATTAAAAACAAAACAAAATCCACTATACATAAAAACAAGACTCTCTCAACATTCCTTACTTCATTGTAAATGATCCGCCAGTCAGTTTACCAGTATCAGGATCTAGAAAAGCAAGTTTAAGGCAGCAAAGGGTAGGCAATCCCACTTCATACTTTATGCCAACTATTTTCATCAGCTCTTGTTCCTGAGGAAGATATAAAAAATAAGTTGTATTTACAAAATCAACTACTAAACATGAAGGAAAAAATTTCCATGTTCAATTATGATATGGTTGGTTAATATTCTGTGAAACTGAGTTACACATGCTTAAGATCTGAGTCACTGGTAGAACTGTGGAGAGCTGCATACATTCAACACAGCACAGTAGGCTACTGTCTTTGAACGCCTACTTTAGTATTACATATATCTCCCCTCAACTAGAAATGACTGAACTAGACCCCATTTCACAGCAAACTGATTATATCAATCACCTTAATCAGCTGAAAATGCAGGTTTAAAAATCAATAGAGAGGTTTCCAGCCTTTTCTTTCACTGAAGAAAAAATAAGAAACAAACACTTACTCCAACTACCCTAATACATTCTTAGACCCAGTCAGGCATGCTAGTGAGTGTGTACTCATAAACTGGGTCAATCTTTTAGTTCTTTCAAAGTTAAAATCTCCTCACAGATTATGTCAATTTAAAAAGGCATCATCAAGCTACGGTTTCTTATGACGAAAATAATGACATGTAACATAATTTCATTTTAAGTGCAGCATCCTTTTGTATTAAAGACAAAAATTTAAAAAAGCACTATACCCGTAGTTCCATCTTATGCCAAGGCTGCTTTTTTGGATTAATACTATAGATTTTATTTTTCCGAGCCATTTCAACATATGCTTCATGTCCTTGTCGGAAGTAATAAACCTATAAAGGAAATAAAGTCATAATTCAAAACATTTCTATGTGCTCCCTTTAACATAAGCAGAAAAGTATCAGCTTTAGCTGTAAAAGTAAAATCTAATATTCTATAAAGCTCTAAGAAAGTTTTAATTCCTCCATTAGTCTATTTTATCCTTCTTCTGTTAACTTATCTAAGGCACTTAAACACATTGTTCTAAATGATTTAACAGTATTTTATGCTTATTGATTTTACCCGTTTTATTTCTGAACCAAAAATAAGTTAGTCACTATTATATAATAAATTGTAGTTGCTGTTGGATGATGTATAACTAGACTGCTTCACAGGGGTAAGGATGGTGAAATGTGATGTTTTGAGTATGTTGTAAAGACAGACCATTCTTTAGAAAAAAAAGCAAAAAAACATCATGCTGATAAGGTGGAAGGTCCTTCTTTGTAAGATTTTATGATATGCTACATGGTTTTATGCTATACATTATTATCAGTATTGCTCTAATTATCTATAACTTGCAAATGAAGACTAGAGCTAAATATTTAAGCACAAGCAATTAAAAAAAAAACACCATAAGGTGCTCTGTTGAAATAACCTATACTGTAATAATATCCTGCTAGCCAAAATCATCATCAAGACTTTGAGATCCACTAAAACTAAATCTAAAATCTATCAACCATGAATTATATACTTTATGGCTAACTTAAACTACAAAAATCTCAAACTTTTTGCTGTCAAGTCAGAATGAACTAACAGCAGACCCTCAATCAAGTTTCCAAAGCTATAAATTGCACATGAAAGAGATAGTCCATCTTTCTTCCACAGAGTAGCTAGTGGATATAAAGCTACCAAAGGCAAGAGCTCTTACAGTTATCAGTGGAAGTCCTTTTAAACTATGCTACTAGAGATCTCAAATATAATCAATACCGTAAATAATACAGCAAGTACCATTTAATCTCTTTTTTGATGATGCAGACATCTGGTAAGGTCTACCGATATACTATGTTAGTTGTCATCACGTGAAATGGAGTAATCCATGTACTCCTAAGCATACTAAATCAAAAAGGTTTCTAAGACACAGCTCAAATCCACCAGCTGCTCCCTGGGAAAATTATGGGCAAATTTCTCCTCCGTGATTAAGTGTCTCTGACACTTGCTGGAGGATCAGCTTTGAGTTTCTTTCAACTTGATGTCACACAACCACAACATTCTGATCAATTGATATTTTATATGGATAAACTGGTACACTCAATAAAGAAGTCTCTTACTTATTACCAGTAATCTGTTGTAGTGGCAAATAAGACTCAGTAGTTCTCTTTCACATTTTATATATTAAAAGCTCATCGTCAATCATTTTTAAAAAACCAATTATTTTTAAAAAGATCTTTTTAAAAGTGTATTTTTTAAAAAGGTCTTCTAAAACATCTAATAAAAACAGGAGCATGAGGATAAATGAAATTGTTTTAACGAACAAAATGCAGAATTATACCTACCTTTAACATAATATCATTAAATTTTAGATGAAAATGTTTTAATTTAGACTGAAATGAAACTTGATAAAATTTTAAGAAATACATATTTTCTTTTGGAATCTTAAAATTTCTATTCTCACACAAATATTTAGGTTTACTACTGCAAAATTTATAATGTCTCAAAATTTATCATCTATTTAATTTTCTCCCATTTATAGTTTATGCAGAGCGACTAACATCTAAAACAAAGTTATCTTGTCAAACAGTTACAACTTTCTAAAACGGTTTTAAAAGATGGAAAAATGTAAGTTAATTGGGGAAAGAAAAAAATGAGGAAACATTCAAAAGTTTTAAATATACCTCATCACCCATCTGTGGCACAAACGGACATCTTCGAGGAATAGTATCTGTAATCCACGTTGAAGGCAACCATTCTTCTAATGTCAGTCCATTTTCTGACAGTTCTCCCACAGCCAATCTCTAAGAAAGTTTAGAACAGTGTAAAGTAATATGATCATGAAATACTGCCCAACCTTCCCTTTAAAACAGCCATAGGATGGCACACACAGTCAAGTACTTGTTTACTAGACGAAGGTTGGCTGTTGGAACCCAGAGAATGGGCTGGCAATCTGTTCCTGAAAACCTTATAGCATGGTCGGGCTTCACCATGAGTCAGAACAGATATGGACAACTAACATCATACAAATATAAGAACATAAGATGATATGACACTTCTATTTTAGCTTGGCACATTTAAGTATCTTCTGCATTTTCATTTAAAAATAATAAAAAAGAAAGTTAATTTTAAGGGTGAAACGGGTTGGATGTCAGCCGCAGAAACCTAATGGAAAGTCTGTTTCAACTTGAGAGCAGTAAGTTAGAACCAGGAAACCGGAAATATCAACTGTACCACAGGATGCATTCTTATATTATTTGATCAGGCAACTACAAGTAACAAAACTCATAATCAGCTGAAAGAAAGACTATCAAGGGAATTAAAGTTGAGATATACAGAAAATAGAATTTGTCAGTGGTAACAAGTCCACTTAACACATAATTGGGATACAGAAATGGTCAAAGCAACAGATCACTAAGTTTATTACAGTGTAGTACAAGAAAAATGGACAGGACTGGCTTTTCTGGTAACATATTCTTCCTCAATCCTGTCTGCTCCAGAAGATTCACTGTAAGGAAAAGTAACAAAGGTGTATATCCTAAGAGCCTGAGAGACAAGTTGTCTTTTATTTGTCTATAAAGATAAAAGACTCTTTGGGAACAGATTAAACATCCTGCACACAGCCAGACGTAAGAGAAAAGAATGTTGTTCTTTAGAGGTATATGATCCAAAGTCAAGCACGGAAGTTAAAGTGCACACCTTGGAAAAGACAGCTTTAAAATATCCAGCATAGATCCCAAGCTCCTATTAAGACTTCAAAACAAAGTGAAAGGATTCTTTTTACATACAAACCAAATGTAAAATACACCCTCTTCCTCTTAGTCACAAATTTTAGTTTATAAAATGATCACAAAAAATTTAAAATGATCGCATTAAGATTGGTGGATTTTCTATTGCAGAGAGGAATGAATGATTACTTTTGATGGCTGCTTGGTTTATGAAGTTTATACAACTCATATACTACCCTATTTGGTAGTTAGGCACCAGCATCCTTCATCGTGCTTTACCAAACACAGCACCCAATTTTCAGTGATCCTCTTATGGAATATCAGTATTGGCTACTACCAACACTCTCGACACCAGCATTCAAGAAGACAGTCATGAGCTCTGGTGGCCTAGTGGCAAGAAGCTGCACTGCAATCCCAGAAGAAGACAGTCATTTCCTCAACTAGTTGAGCATAGAAACTCTGTATGACCCAGCTATTCCACTACTAGAAATATACCCAAGAAAATTACAACTGAAACAGAATCTGAGTTTTGTATACCAATGTTCATAGTAGCATTATTCATCATCGCCAAGAACATGGAAACAGACCAAACATCCAACAGCAACTGAATGGATTGAGAAATTGTGGTACATTCACACAATGGAATAATATGCAACACACAAGACCAACAATTTTAGAAAATATTATGTAACTTGGGAGAGACTGGAGGAGAGCATTTTGCTGAATGAACTCAGTCTTTTAAGGACAAATACTGCATAAGCCCATTACTGTAAAAATGGAAGGATTAACTATTAAAAGATGTATGAGCTCAAAGGGGGGAGGGGTCGGGGGGAACAGAGAGGTGAAGAAGAGATGGGGCGAACCCACAGGAATGCAGTTTGGTGGGCTGAGGTGGGGGTAAGGAAAGGAGGTGGTTTTGGATAAACAGAAATAATAATGATGTGCCAAGGTCCAACGGTGACTGATTTTATGAAACACGATGCATAAGAATAATTGTCTAATAATAATCGTCTAAAACACAGTGTGAATGAAAAATAGGGTGAAATGCAATGTGTACCGAACTTTGTAAGCAAACTACTAAAAAAAAAAAAATCAAAAGGCAAATTTTACTGTGAAAAGTTTGCTTTCAGGGACCTCTCTAGAGTACTGAAGAACACTATGTCAGTCTGGAGACTAAGGTGCCTCCGATCTAGGCCAAAGTCTTCACAATTACTTGCTATGCATCAGAGAGCTGGACCAAGGATGACAGAAGAAGGATCAATGCCTTTGAGCTGTGGTGTTGGAGAAGTGTGTTGAACATACGATGAACATCCAGAAGAACAAAAAGGTCTGTTCTAGAGGGGTGAAATCCGTTTGCTCCCAGGGAAACAGGATTTTGAGGCTGTCTCAAACATTAGCACAATGAAATTAGGTCTGTCAGAGATGATGAGATTGGCTCAGGATACAGCAGCTTTCAGAGCTAATGTACACAGGATCACTATAAGTTGCATGCAACTGACTCGATGGCACACAAGAACAAAAAAATACAGAAATTACTTGATCATAATACAGTTTTTATTGTGCTAGGTGTCGTCAAGGTGATCATGATTCACAGCGACACCTGAATCCTGCCCTATCATATGTAACCTAACCCTCCCTGATATACTCGAGACCACTGCTCCTGCTATTGGTTGAGGGTCTTCCCTACATTGTCAACTCTTCACCCTTCTAATCATGATGTCCTAATTCCAAGGACTGACCTAACAATATGCCCAAGGAATGTGAGATCGAGTTTCATCATCCTTCCCTTCAAGGAGCTTCCTAGATGCACCTTCTCCAGGCATACTTGTTTGTTTGTATGGTTGTTGTTGTTAGGTGCCATCACATCGTAGACGACTCACAGCGACCCGATGAACAAAAAGCCTGAAATCTGTTCATACATAGTTTCTGGAGGCAAGCCATTTCGGAAGTGGATGCAGCTCCTGCTTCCAGGCTTGTTTTAGTCGGGAAGCTCCAGCCAACACTGTCCATCATGAGTAACCATTACCACGTCTGACACATCGGTGTCACAGTGTTCAGCATCACAGCAACCACGAGTTACCTCTGTACAGCAATGCACAGACCAGTGCTATAGCACCTAGAAGAATGTTTGACAGGGAAACAATCTGAACGTGGCCTGAGGGCCGCAGATGAAAATCACCCACCTTCGGCTTGGTAACATAACATTCTGTCCACTAGGCCAATGTAGCTCTAAGTCATCGTTGTTTGTGTTATTAGGTGCCATCGAGTCATAGACGACTCAAAGTGACCCTATGAACGAAAGGCTTGAGCACTGTCCATACATAAGAGTTTCTGAAGGTAAGCCATTTCGGAAGTGGATGCCAGGCCACTGCTTCCAGGCTTGTTTTAGTCTGGAAGCTCCAGCAAACACTGTCCACCATTGGTAACCATCACCACATTTGGCACATCAGTGTCACAGTGTTCAGTAGTGTTACACAATTACCAAGTCTTTAAAGTGGTGCATCCTTCAGTCCATTGACAGAATAAGTATAAAAAATATACGTGAGCGAAGCTCTGGTGGTCTAGTGGCAAGAAGCTGCTCTGCAATCTCAAAGGCGCATGGTTCAGATCCACCAGATGCTTCGCTGGAGAAGGAGGGACAATCTCTTCCTGTGCCAGCTGGATCTGACTCGATGGTGCACAACAACAACAAAATATATATGTGAGCTGAATGGACAGAATATTCACAACTTTTAAAGGATAAGTACTATGTGTTGAAAAGAACTGGCTACAACATACGATTCTATCTTCCACTATATTATTTTGTAAGCAAGTAAATTATTTATTAATCTGATTTCTCTAGCTCCTAAAACCACAAGAGCCATATATAAAATATTACTTTACATTATGCTTGGGAAAGTGGAGGATTGGAGAAAGAGAGGAAGACTCTCAACCAGACGGATTGACATAGGGTTAAGATTTGTTATTCAAGGGGTCACTATGGTCTTACTTGACAGCACCTAATACTATTACTTGAAATGACAGCATTTTACCTCTCAGAAAACTATTTTGCTGTTACATATTTTCTGTATCTGAGTAATAGTTTATCACACACACAGTTAAATGTCATTGATTCCTAAGTTGCCTTCTCTAACCCATTGAAAAGGGTAATATGTTTAGGAGTGGAGGACAACTATTTGGCCAACTGACTGGAAGAGATCCATATTTATTCCCATTCCAAAAAAGAGGTGACCTGAAAGAGTGTGGAATTATTGAACATATATCACTAATATCACACACTAGCAAAATCCTGCTGAATATTATCCAGAAAAGACTTGAACAGTATATTGACAAAGAACTACCAGAAATACAGGGTGGTTTTAGAAGAGGTTGTAGCACTAGGGACATTATTGCCAATGTCAGATGGATCTTGGGCAGAGAACAGAGAGTACAAGAAGAATGTCTATCTGTGTTTCATTGACTATGTAAAGGCATTTGCCCGTGTGGATCACAGTAAATTGTGGCTAACTGAGGAAAATGGGAATCTCAGAACTGTGTTCATGTGAAACCTACCTGGACCAAGAAGTAGTCCTCAAAACACAACAAAGAAACATTGCATGGTTCAAAATCAGTAAAGGAGTGTGTCAATGATGCATCCTGTCCCCGTACCTTTTCAATCTGCATGCAGAACATCAGGAAGCAGGGATTAACGAGGAGGAATGTGGCATCAAGACTGGAGGAAGACTTACTAACAAACTACGATACGCAGATGACACAACCTTGCTTGCTAGAACTATAGAAACCAGCAGTCAAGAAATCAAAAGACGAATTGCATTGGGGAAATCTGCTAGCATGGACCTCTCCAGAGTGCTGAAGAGCAATGATGACAGTCTAGAGAGACAGGTGCACCTAATCCAGGCCATGGTCTTCTCAATTACTTGTCATGCTTCAGAGAGCTGGACAAGGACTAAGGATGACAGAAGAAGAATAAATGCCTTAGAGTTGTGGTGCTAGAGAAGAGTATTAAACATACTATGGGCTTTCAAGAAAACAAATAGGTCTGTCTGGGAGGGTGAAACCCTGTCTCTTCTTGGAGGCTAGGATTTTGAAGCTCTGCCTCACTTACTCTGGGCATATGGCCAGGAGAGATAGGTCCTTAGAGAAGGACATCATACTCAGAAAGGGTGGACAGACAATGCAGGAGAGGGAGACGCCGGGTGAGACAGATTGATGCAGTAACTGGGGCAATGAGGATTGGTGTGTCAGAATTAGTGAGACTGGCTCAGGACAGGAAACAGTTCAAAGCTGCTGTACATACATTACAGGCAACTCAATGGCACCTAACAACAATAACATACTATGACAGGTTTGGAAGCAGGAGTGGCATCCACTTCCTAAATAACATGCCTCCAAACATTCTATGAACTCTGATAAATGTTAATAGTTTTTAGAGGGGCTTCTAGTCTTTTGTTATAGGTTCGCTATGAGTCATGTTTGACTCAAGCCCAAACAACAACAGCAACTCAATAGATTTGAACAGCAGACCTTATTGCCAGCAGCATAACATGTATACAGTATGCCACCAGTGCACCATACAGAATCCTCAAAATTCACAGATGCAGAAACAAATCAACAATATCACATAGTTCTTAGGATGTTTCAAGGCTTTCTAAGGATAAAGACCTTTAACTTCCCTTATAATTAACTCTATAATGAAAACGTATTTTTAATTCTAAAAATAGCAGATGTTACACAATATCTTCTCTTTTATAGCCAAATATCCAACCACAATCGAACAGACTTGAGACATTATGGTACATTCACAAGATGGTATTACTATACAGAACGCAGGAGCAATGATTTTCCAAATCTTGGGAGGGACGGGATAGCATTATGATAAGTGAATTAACTCAGTATGAAAAGGACAAATACTGCATGAGATGATTAATTTTATAACCAGTAAAATGTGTATGAAGATCTAAGAGGTGGGAGGGTGGGGACAGATGGGTGATGATGGGCGGGTAGGGGGTTTTTCATTTGATGAGTTGGGAGACAGGGTGGGTTAAGGAAATGGGAAAGATTCAGTGTAAAAAACGATGTATACAAACTCTATAAGTAAACCAGTGTAAATTAAAAAAAAAAAAAATTCCAATTTCTTAACAATAGATGTAAGACATTGCCACTATTTTCTTGTTCTTTCCTTGACTTCTTGCTAACTAACTAGTTTTAAGATATAAAATCAATTAAAACTAATAAAATTTAATAATAATAAAAAAGATATAAAACCAACAAAACTACTACTAACGTAAAGATCAATTAAATATGGTTCACATACTACAGATAATAAAGGGTTATTTTTTTTTAAGCAGAGGTATTCTATTTGCGATTCATATTTGCTTTGTGGTCAAATAAGACAACTTTTATCTTTCTTACTTCATGTGGTATTATTTCTTTTCAGCTACAAAAATAAATTAGGGTAATTAAGGCAAAGGCATCTAGTAAATGCTTTGTAACATTATGTTTTTGATATACTGAAATAAAAATGAAAGAGTAAAGTCCATCAGACTACTAAAAAAGAGCAGATAATATTTTAAGATTAAATGTCTAATTTTAAGAATATCACTGACTGATTAGAAAATACTCATACTGAACATCTAAAAGCCTGAATATATTTCCATATAGCTTATTCTACCACTATGCACTTCTGAGTTTATATATTTCTCTTCCTCTTTTCTGTTACTATTTCTTAGTACTATATTGTATTTTTTAAATTAGTTTTTAGAGTTACTTTCATAAAAATTTTAAATATATGAAAAGTAATTCAACCTTTTGCTTTCTTTCTTTGGGCTTCTTTTTCTTTGGTGACGTTGGTCCATCTTTTTCTTCATTTACTTTTTTCCGTTCCTTTTTGATCTGTTTTTGCTTCTGTTTTTCAGATTCATCTTCATCATCTGAACTGCTTTCTGCTTTCTTAGTTTTATGTTTAGGCACTTTCTTTGGCGGCTGAAGATTTATTCCTGCATCTGCTGTCCAGTCAGAATAATCACTGGAGTAATCACTAGAAAAGTGAGGCAGTAGTAAATACATACATACATACATACATACATACATACTAGACATAAATACACAAAGAAGATTAAGCTTGTATTTTAAGACATAAAATAAAATGACAGAACATTATATACTAATGAGCTAAATAATTATTTTCTCTATTTAAAAACTAATATTGAAAACCAACATAAAAAAATTAAGTTCTTTGATTTTAAGATAATGAATGTTGGAAAGGAGTATGCAGATTCCATTCTTGAAGCAAAGTAGGAATTCTAGACATAGACTCCCATAGTGAAACAAAGGCATTTTAAAGGCAGCTCGACAGTAATGGGCAAAATCAGAAATATTGGGAAGAATTTTTTTATAAACTTATCATTTAAAGAGGAAATTTCATTTAGGGAAAAACCTAAGAACTTTGTTGAAAATTACTCTTCACCACTCTATTAAGAATTATTTAAAGGTGTGAAAATATCTGCAGATCGAACATTTATTGAGGCTGCATTCAACTTAAGAACATTTATGTATAAACAAATCCAGCCCACAGTTACAGATAATGAGTATTATCAGATCTTCACAGTCATCATCACTCTCTGAAACACACAGCAAGTAACTGCCAGGTAGCAGTAAATGCACTGAATCTAGAACTGATAACAAGGAATCCTTACTAGCCTCGATTTCTTAGTTTCTGTGAATGTAAGAAACGATCTAAAGGAGACCATCTGAAAAGCTAAACATCATTCTCCAGAGATGACAATTCTTGTTATTAAGGTTTTGCAAGCTCCCATGCCTTACAATGTGAATAACCAGTTAAAGAACTTGAAATCGTCACCTGAATATTCAATTGGGTGAGGAAACAGGGATAAAACTCTTCGCTCTACTGCTGTAAGAAATTATAAGTAGTCAACAAATACTTAAGATAACTAAGCCAACTAGATGTCATTTCTTCCGTAACTTAATGCCTACAGGTTTTAAAAAATAAGTAATGAAATTTCTTTTTGGCTGAAAATCATAAATAAAAGCAAAATACCAGGATGATCCATTTGAAAGCAACATACTGGAGATCAAATCAGAAGAATTAATTGTGGTCTTTCTTCTCCTAGTGGAGAAGCAGAAAATCTCCTAACTTTTGAGAGGACAAAAATACAAAATCCATGTAAAACATCCAAATAATGGTTTTTAATATGTTGCTGATAAAAAAAAAACAAACACCAAAAAACCTAAACAAAACAACCCTGTGCCTTCTAAAGATTGTGTATTACATTTTGGAGAAATACAACTCCATTCGCTCACCTGGAACTGCCATCACTGTGCCATGCTCTTTCTTCCTCTTCAGATGTCCCACCACTGACAGCAACCACCTCACCTTCCTAACAGACAGTAAGCACACAATTGTTTATTTGAATAAAATGTTTCAAGAGTATAAAAATGATACACATGAAATAACACAAGTCGTATTAGGATATTTAAATTTAAAATGGTTCAAATTAGATAAAAACATAACCTTAATATTTTACACAAAAGTGAGAAACTATTAACTTCATGCAAAGATGTATTATTCACAAATACTAGACTGTGAGTCAACATCTCATGACTTTGGTTTTGAATTTTTTAGTACAACACATCATCTTCATGACATGAGTGCTGCCAACACAAATGTATGCAGTTAACATTTACTTGTTTCTCCCTGGGATTAACTGCCCCTAAAAATCGAATAGAGAGCAAACTATCAGTCACTTCTGAATACACAACGTATAAAATTAAGTTAGTTTACTGGATTTTTAACAAGTTTTCTTTCCTATCATTGCTTTAAAAGTATACAATCTGGCACATTTACATTTTCTTGTTTTTAACATAGCTCTACCATATGAAAATTTGTATGCCATCTCTGGTTTTACTTTAATTACAAATGTACGCTAGTAAACATTATCTAACACTGTTTTTCTTTAGTAAATACTTACAAAGCAATACCTTCAGACTAAATGGGCTTTTGGTCATAAAATCTTAACACAATTTGTCCTCTGCTTGAGTAAATGTGCCAACAGCTATGTTTATGAAGCTGCTAATATACATCAGAAACTATTCTACACATATTATATTACCTTATATGTATCATCCGTTTGATCTATGTAAGACATTGGTGGTTTATAAGGGGAAGAATTAAGAAATTTGTCCTAAAAGAGCAGAGTGCTAAGTATCAAAACCTTTTCTGACCCCAGGCAATTAACAAAAAAATTTAAGTTAAATGGTTATTCAACAACACTTTAAAAAGTAAGAAAATACGTAAAGATGAAAATTCGACAGTAAATATTTACTAAGTTTAATCTCTGAAATATAATTGGAAAAAATGTTACATGAACTCTACTCCTTTTTGCCTGATACTTGCTTAAAGAGGGAAAAAAATTGTTTCTACATCTTAAACTGAAATTATTATATTGAATTACACACATTTTATGCCTATCATGGTATTTCTTTCTCAAGGTATTCTATAAATTTAGTACTCCAAGGGAGCTCTGGTGGTCTAGTAACAAGAAGCTGCACTGCAATCCCAGAGGTGCTTGGTTTGAACCCAGCAGATACACTGCTGGAGAAGGAGGGACAATCTCCTCCTGTACCAGTCAGATCCGATTTGAAGGTACACACACACTCAAATACTAAAATTTAAAACAGTAACAACAACAACAACAACTACCCAAAAAACTTAGTACTCCAAAAGGATGAAAGAGAAACTACCTTTTACAAATTAGTTTTGCAATTTTTGCTTTATGTAAAAAATACATAAGTTTTTAGTAACTTGAGTATTTAAAATATTGTAGTTATTTAATATTTTTAACGTAGTATACATCTTTCAAAGGGATGAAATCCTTTATTAGCAGTAAGTTAAACCATACATATTTTATGTTAAGGGAGCCCCAGTAGTGTAATCCATAGGAAGCTGCGCTTCAAACTCAAAGACTGATCTCTTTTTGGTTCAAATTTATCAACCAACCACTGTATTTTTTCTTTTAATTTTTATAAAACAAATACCTTTTCTTTTCTTAAAAATTTTATTATTTTTTGTGTGTGTACTGCCAAATCGGGTTTGACTGGCACAGAAGATTGCCCCTCCTTCTCCAGCACAAAATCTAGTGGATTTGAACAGTGTATCTCTGAAATTGCAGTGCAGTTTCTTGCCAGTAGAGCTCTCTTACAAATAGGGTTTTTTTTTTAGTCATTCACACACATTTTTCTTAGAGCACTCTACAATGTAATCACACTTTCCTCATTTCCTCCCTGTAATTTTCATTTCCATCTATTCCTACTTCCTTATCTCGGGAAAAATGCCGCTCTTCAGGCTGCTATGTTGTTGCTGTGTATGTCTAGTTTGACCCAACCCAGAAAATTTTTCTGAGGCAGTTAATTGTGTAACGGGAGACTGCCAAGCTTTCTCCCAGGAAGCAGTTGGTGGATTCAGACCATGTGCCTTTGAGATTGCAGGGCAGCTTCTTACCACTAGGTCACCAGAGATTCCTACCCTATCTATCTTTTGTGAGAGAAGGAAGTGCAATCGCCTCCTGTGCAATTAGCTGCCTCTGAAAACCTGCTGGAAAGTTAGCTATGAGTTGGTTCCAATTCAACACTACACATCAACATATTTTCAAATTATGGTTACAATGTTCCAGATTGAATTTAATGTTCTCCTGTCTTCCAAAGAATATACTGAGAAAATTCAAATACATGGCTGATAGAGAAAACCACCAGAGGCACCAGAAGCATGAAGTAGTCAACAAATGCGATAATGGGTCTGTGAAGAGGTTTTAAATATTGAGTATGAGTTATTTATGATTGCTATTTGATTTCCTCTGCTAAAGTGTGTAACTTAGAAGTGAAAATATTTAAAGAAATAATTATCGTAAGAGAGAATACAAAAATACACCAATAAATTGATACAGGATTGAGAAATTACAGTTGTCAAATGCCTTTCAATTAATTGTTAATAGTGACTAAAATATGAAAAACTTGGGATTTCATGTAAAAGCAGCCCAGGTTTAATTCATCCTTACATCATTCTGAGAATAAATAATTCAAAAGCTTTGAACCTCAGATCCCTCATATATAAAATGGGAACACAGGGATTTCTCATGAGAGTTTGAGTTTTCAAGCCTAGAATATACACAGCAGATCTTCAGGAAGATACTGGTATTATTATTATTATGAGACATGAAGATATTGTCTTGATGCAATAGCCATATCAATGAATACATGTAAACAAATAAAAAAAAAAGGAGGTAGAAACAGAAGTTGAAGCATGTGCCAACAAAGTTAAGATCTTACATCTGAAGAGCTGGTGCCATTTTCTATCTCTTCTGAAGGTCTACTGGGCTCTTCCAAAGCAGATCTGGTACGATAATTGTGTTGATTTGCTTGTTGCTTTTTGCATTCTCCAAGATCTACAAAGTTCTCATGAGCATGATTCTGGAATAAAGTTAAACTTAATTTATTCAAGGCTAAAGAACAAAGTTTTCTACATTTATTGAGATCAATCTGCTTTTGGCATCATAAAAAACTATATTCAGGTTTATCATTTAGATGTAACTGTAGAAGCAGCTCAAGTATTTTGACATTACATCAAGCATTACAAGGCTTGTGTAGTTCTACACTGAAATTACCTTGTTGACTGGTGTGACATAAAGAAACATTTTTAAATTAAGTGACACAGGATTAATAATTCATGATTAGAAATTAAGCTGAACAAGGAAACCTCCTTTTCCAACAATGAATGTGCACAAAAGACCTAAAAAAAAGCAACACAACACACAGGACAGCAAAGGCAAACATCGATGATAAAGATACAACAGCATTCATTATGAGACCTGGGAGCCAAGTGGCAGCCAGGTTTTTGTTAAAAATGAATGTAGCAAGTCTTATGCAGCAATGACAACACAGGTAATAAGACAAAAAAATCTCTGAGCAAGTTCTAACCCTGAAAGAGATGGCAAAAGCAACAAACCACAGATAGAGACTGGGGAAAGAGAGGAAAAACAAAATGATACCAGGCTAGTTTGAACAAATTAAATATTTATCATTAAACTAGAAGGTTAAATGCAGACTAAAAATTTTACTAAATTTAACAACATACTTTACAGAAATACACAGGAATATCACATTAAAATAAGAATGTAAAAAAGGAATACAATCTTTCAACTGTTGAAACTTTAGAACTTGTAATAATATATTCAATTCTAAAAGTGACATAATCACACACAATTTGTATTGAACACTGACTCCATATTTATTAAGACAAGTACTCTAAAAAGGTACTAAAACTAATACATATTTAAAGGGAAATTTTAAAAACCTATTAATTATAATATCACAAATTTTAAAATAATTTGTAATTTACTATCTCACTTCTTCCATTTAACATATTTTTACATATTCGATCCAAGTCATTAAAAATTGTTGTAAATTTCCAGCACCACAAGATAAAGGTAAATAATGCAATTGAAAAATGGGCACAGGATATGAACAGACACTTCACCAAAGAAGACATTCATTCAGATGGCTAACAAGAACATGAAGAAATGTTCTCACCCCAGACAGAATAACAAAATTTAACAGAACAGCAAGCAAAAATGCTGGCAAGGTTGTGGAGAAACTGGAACCCCCTTGCCACTCCAAAAATAAAACTTATTTTAGGAGGCAGTCAAATGATAATACTCTGGAAAAAGGAACCTATGCAAAATGTTGTACAGCAACTTCTAAATACCTTCCTCATGAAAACACATTTGACATTTGCTCCTTCCTCTGACCCACCTAATCTTTCAGCCTAAACCTGAAAGGTGATAATATCATTATCAATTCTACTGAAATATACAGGTGACATATCCTTGGAGTCTAAGCAAAAAATAATAAAAATAAAAAAATAAATATATAAATACATGCTTCCCAGATATCATTTAAATAAATTTAAAAAAACCCACCTAAATCAAAGTAGCAAAACAATAAATTATTTGAGAAATAGATTATCTTAGTAAAAAACTGTATTGAGTCCTTTTAAAAACAAGAGTTAGAACCTACAACCAGGAAAGGATAAAATAGATGAATTGGACCTTCTAAGAATTAAATCCCTATGCAAATCCAAAAACTTCAACAGAGTAAAAGGGAAACCACAGACTTGGAAAAAACATTTGGTAATGATATGTCTGATAAGGGACTTACAGCTAGAATCTATAAAATACTATAGCACCACAAGATAAGGATAAACAACCCAACTGAAAAATAGGCACAGGATATGAACAGACACTTCACCAAAGACATTCAGATGGCCAACGAGTACATGAAGAAATGTTCAAAATCCCTAGCTCTAAAGAGAGATGCAAATCAAAACGAGGTATAATCTCACCCCAGTAAGAATAGCAAAGTTTAACAACAGCAAACATCAAATGCTGGCGAGGTTGTGGAGAAACTGGAACCCTTATTCACTGGTAGTGGGAGTGTAAAATGGTGCAACCACTAGGGAAGGTGCAACTACTACGGAAGGCTATATGTTGCTTTCTCAAAAAGTTGCAAATAGAAAAACCTTTTGACCCAGCAATTCCACTACTGGGAATATACTCTAAAGAAACCAGAACTGCTACCCAAGCAGATACATGCTCACCTATGTTTATTGCAACTCTGTTCACAATAGCAAAGAGTTAGAAACAACCCAAGTACCTATCAACAAACAAATGGATAGAGAAGCTGTGGAATATTCACACAGTGGAATATTATGCTGCACTGAAACACAAGGAACTCATGAATTAGTATACAAAATGGGTGACCCTGAAGGACAGTATGCTCAGTCAACTATCTCAGTCACAAAAGGACAAATACTGCATAGTGCCACTTTTGTAAAAGGTGGACTGACATCGAAGTTGAGGGGAAACTAAACTATACTGAAACAAATATGGGAGAGAACTGTTTAGGAGAAATACATGATTATTATCATGACAAGCGTCCAGAATGAATGCTGAAGAGTGGAGTGGAGTGGACTGGACTGCGGGTAGAGGGTGGGGGGGGACTGTTAAACAATGGAATTTTTTTTTTACTTTTCAAAGTGAAAAGCAAACTTGAGGGGGGGAGGGGTGGGTAGGAAGGGAATTGTGCAACAATGAATGAATGGAAATTCAAAGTCTCTGTAAAGTTTCATTGAAATAAATAAAATAAAAAACCACTAAAAAAACACACAAGAGTTAAAAAAAAAATCTTAAAAAAAGATGAAAAATTTAACAAGTTTAAGGAACTCAAAAAAGATAAAAGAATGAAGCATAATATGGATCATTTATTTTTTTTTCTTGGTTTAGATTACTATTGACATGGTCACTTGGACCTGAAAAAACCCTTTCAAATAATTTCATTCCATTTCTGAATCTAAGATTTTCAAGTCAAGATACTTAGAATGGACAAGTACAGTTCCAATGAAGTAAGTATAGCTCTTTCCCTGATTAAGATGTAAACACCCTATACGTATAAAATTCCAAAGTTTTTCAGACCAGGGTAATAAAAACAAACAAGATAAACTAACACTTAAAATTCACCTCTCTTATTGAAGAGAAGAAAATAAAAACTGCTGTTTATAACAAAGCAAACGTAATCATCTAGAAAAACAAACATGTAAAGCAGCAAAATAAATACCTAAAATAGAAAAACTGTGTTTTGGAAAAGATTCAAAGGTTTGACTCAGGCTTTAAATACTATTAAAAATATAAATTATTTAAAATTATTTAAATAGACGTAATTGCTCCACGGTCAACACTCTTGGCACCAGCAGCCAGGAAATCAAAAAAATAAATTGCGATGGGAAAGTCTGCTGTTAGGGACCTCCCTAAAGTACTCAAGAGCAACGGTGTCTCTCTGGAGACTAAGGTGCGCCTGATACAGGCCATGGTTTTTGCATTCATTTGTTATGCATCAGAGAGTTGACAATGACTAGGGAGGATAGAAGGAGAACTGACACCTTTGATCTGTGGAGCTGGAGAAGAGTATTGAATGTACCATGGACTGCCAAGAAAACAAAACAGATTCATCCTGGAGAGGGTTGAACCAGGCTACTCCTTGGAGGCAAGGATTCTGGGGCTTCGTCTGACATACTTTGGACATATAAGGACAGACAGATCTTTAGAGAGGGACATCATGCTGGGTAGAGTGGAGGGACAGCTCAAGAGAGGAAGGCCCTCTATGAGGTGAACTGATTCAGTGACTGGGGTAATCAGGATGGGCGTGTCAGAGGCAATGCGATTGGCACAGGATAGAGCAGGGTTTAGGGCTGCTGTACATAGGGTCGTTATGAGTCGCAAACGACTCGACGGCACATAACAATAACAACAACAATGGCTATAGGAGTTTGCATTTAGGAAGTTAATCTGTAAAATTGTATAATGGTAAACTTAGTAACTAATGTAAAAAAGATAGTAAAAAATTTAATTGTATTTATTATATTTTAAAAAATCCTTTTTACAATATTACTTTTGTGTTACAAAAATAATCTTAACTGGTCAAAGCATTTCACAAAGTAATGTTAAGCAGTAAGACATTATTATTATTTACCTTTGAAAGATTAAGTATTTTATTCTCTTTTGGAGCAGTGAAGTGTTTTCTTTTCTCTTCTGATCTATAAATTTTAACTTCTTCTTCACCCTTTGCAGTTCTCCATTCTTCTTGCCGACTGGAAAAAAAAAATTGTAAGGCATATGTGTTAATCTAGAATCATTACAACTGATTTCTCCCCTAAAAGTTAATTTCAGAAAAGGAAACAATACTGCTACTTTAATTTCAAATGGAAGTCTATGGTAAAGGTTTTTTTATTTAAATATAAAGGGTTTTGGCTGCAGAGATCAAATAACTACAATATCAGGAAGATGAGATCCTAGACTTGAAATTATTTCTCGTCTTAGTCAAATCAAGTTTTAAATCTATAATCCCAGAGGTGCACGGTTCAAATCCACCAGATGCTTTGCTGGATAAGGAGGAATAATCTCCTCCTGTACCAGTCAGATCTGATTTGACAGTACACACACACACAATAATTAAAATAAAATAAATTTTTTTTAAAAATGGCATTTTCTCATCAGTTTTCAAAAACTAGGTGAATGCAGAGATTAAAATATGATAATTATTTAACAGAGTTCACTGGAGTAACTGAAAAATATGGCTGAGGATTAAATTAAAAAATACTGAGGATGAACTAACATTAACAACTCTACTGAGACATGAAACGGAAACTAAGCCACAGAAAAAAGCAAGGAATATTAATTTTAAGCATTCATTTCAAAAATAGTTGAACTCAAAACAATTTTATATTTTACATAGTATCTTGTACTTTATCTTTTTAAGAGTAAACGAGCATTAAATCTTTCAACACTATTTTTCTCCGGAGGATCATAATGAAAAAGAAGTTGATGTTCATACTGGAAAATCTACAATATCTCAAACATGTTAGTTGTAATTATGATAACAAATGAGTATCTTAAATTTTGTTAAGAGTGGACTCAGACTTAGGTTTGTTCTGGAAAACGTTTTAGGAATTGTAAATTTCTAGGCAGTTTTAAGAAATAGTATAGATATATTCTGTATCTTTTACTTAGTTCCTCCAACATCTTATAAAACAATAGTACAATTATCACAACCAGGATACTGACATTAATACAATCTACTCAACATATTCAGGTATCCTCAGTTTAAGTGCAGACCAATTATTAAAATTATTTATAGTATTGTTGTTGTTATGTGCCCCTGAGTCACCTGTGACTCATAGCAATGCTATGTACAACAGCTCTGAACCCTGTTCTATCCTAACCCAACGTCATCGCCATGTTATCATTATTGAACGATAGTCCACGGTATCAATATATTACTTTGCTTAAACATTTACCCACTGAATGAAGGACACCTTACTTCTGTTTGGTTTTTTTGGGTTTTTTTTTTTGTGATTATTACAAATAAAGGCAATATTAGAGCACAGGCTTTCGTTTGACCCCAAATTAATATTCCGAGAAGTACAATGGTTGACTTAGACACTATCTGTATAGTTAATTTTATAAGACTACTGTTTAAAACTGTTTTTCATAGAGGCTGTGTCTTTATATTCCTACCTAGCATTGTATGAGTTAGTTTTTATTTGGTGCTGTCATTTTTTATTACATCCACATATTCATTTATGTGATTTATCATTTTTCAAAGGATATCATATTCCGTACCTTTTCACATGCTTAGCTTTGGTTCATGTCTTTGCCTATTTTCTAATTTGACCATTTTTTATGCACTAAATGTTTAGAATTTTTTACATATAGTCTAAGGAGCACAGGAACAGACTGGTTAAGAGCTTAGCTATTAATGGAAAGGTTGACCTACCAGCTACTCTGGATGGGAGATAGATGTGGCAGTCTGCTTCTGTAAAAATTTACAGTTTTATAAACCTTAAGGGCAATTCCTTTCTGCTACTCTGTTTATAAAGGGTCACAAGAAGTTAGAATCCATTTCATAGCAATGGGTCTGATTTTTTTTTATTTTATTTATTCTTTCTAGATTAATTAATCTTTCCCCAGGTTTACGGTTAAATGTAATTTCCCGTCAGAATAATTTAAGAGATTGCTTGGGGCAAATTTTATCCATCATGATATGAGGTACCAGATCTATTTACATACAAAGAATACTAAGTGTTGGGAACACATAAGATACCAATGCTAAAGCAACTATATTTTGAAGGTTAGACCGTCACCTTAATAGATAAGCCAAAGGTAAGAGGAATGCAAAGAGTATGTAGAGGTTAAGAAATCTTAGATTCCTCACATTTTCCTCCACATGGAGGAATGACTTCTACCATTACTAGCAACCCATTCTTTTCATTTCTCTACTAAACTTTTTCTAGACAAAGAGTTAGACGGAAAATACTTAAGGAAGAAGGATGTATTAGAAAGACCAGGTAAATATGGTCTAGCCCTATGCCCTTGTTATTCACTGTTCATACATTTTGTGGAATCAAACCATTGGTGTTTCATGAGATAAGGTTTTCAGTCGCCCAGTACTATCTCTGTTTAGGGTTCAGTATTAATAATGTTCTCGGTCATTTGGTATGAACTGCACTTCTTTGAGATTGTAGTACATGTTCTTACCATTAGGCTACATCAGCTCCCTAACCCCAGGCCACCAGAGTAGCCTAACCAGATGAATATAACTAACAAGGTATTATTAATAAACATTATGAAAATTAAGCATTTCATTAGAAGCAATGCCCAGATTATAAATAGTATCTATCACTGTGTTTTAAAAAATTTGTAGGTCCATCAAAATAAGTACATTCAGTTTTTATTGTTGTCTGCACTGAATGGAGCTGCTAAGCCAAAGGCTGCAAGTCTTAGAAGGATCAAATCTACCAGCTGTGCTCAGGACAAAGATGGGTGCTTACTTCCTGGTAAGCGCAACTGAATGCTGCTCATGTCAAGGGATAAAACTATTACCTGGTCAGTCCCTGTCTCTTTTTCTCCCACTAACAAAGGCAGAGGAAATAATAAGGGACATCAAGGACAGTGCATCAAGGTGAAGCAGCCCCTTCCTTAGCAATGCAGGGGATCTCCTCCTTCCAAACCCCAACCAGCCCCACAAGTCCCTAGGCAGTGCTAGTCTAGGTCCAGTCTCAGAAGACAATGAAAGGCAATAAATCACCTATCCCTCCCTCCTTTCCTCTTTAACTCCTTCACATCAATGATCTTTATCTTACACCAATGTTTCCCCCCTTACATTACCTGAACAAACCTTTTTCATGGTTTTGTTTTGGTTTTTCTGCCAAATTACCACTGTAGGTGTTATCAGTTCACTTATATACAGCCACCTAAACTCATATCCTCAAGAGAAGTATTGACAAGTGGTAAAGAGATAAAAAGGTACTCTACATTTAGCACATTTCCTCTTGTAGGTGTGCTAAGAATCAGAACTGATTCGAATGCAGTGTCAGCACTGTGGTTTTTACCACTGTGTCTGAATCAACTGGTCTTCTAACCATCTGTTGGGTTTTCAGAGGCAGTAAATTTCATGGGCGAAGATTGTCCGTTCTTATCCCGCATGGCTGATAAGATTTGAACAATGTGACTTTGGGGTTGAAGAGCAGCTTTTTGTCACTAGGCCATGAGTTACTCCTTAGTGGCAATGTGTTTGTTAAAATTTTTTATGTATCAAAAATAGTTTTAATTATTCCTCTGAATTTTAAGGTCTAAATGATTAGCAAATCTATTAAATAAAATAATTCTAACAAATTTTATAAAATGTGTTTTAAGATATAGTTGAATAGAATTTGAATAGGACAAAAGAATTTAAATATAATATTTAAAAATCTCATAATAAATATAAATTTATTACTTTTCTTTCATTTCACCTTAACACATCCCACTTAAATGATCTCTCAGTTTAGACAATGTTATATGCTAAAACTCAAGTTTTTCTCCAAAATGAACTAAGTTTATAAAAGTACCAGCTCTTATTCAACATTAACATAAACAATTGTGGTACCTAACAATTCACAATTTCTCTTACCTGGCTACCCCAGCTGATAGCTCAGGTACTACTACCCTTCGACTCCAAGCTACAAGATCCCTCTCTGTGGCTATTTCACTTCTTGGTGCGTTGCTGTGCATCTGCCGTACACCTTCAATTTGTCCACTCCGCCTCAGTCCTATATTTGGTGGTGAATGGACCTCTGAGGTAGAACTCACAGAGCCTAAGTGACAAAATCAATAGAGAAGGTTAGGACAAGACTCAGATCTATTGTTCACAGGGTCACTGTGAGTCATAGTGACTTGACAGCACCCTACAACAACAGTTGAAATTCGTTATTGTAAAGACTAAACAAAATCCATACAAAACAAACTACTATTCCACAAGAAGTTTTATATTGTGGCAAATACCTCCTAAATCAGAAAAAAAAAAACCACAAAAGGCATAAAATGTAATTAAAACAAAACCATTTTATAGTTGGCAAGTTAAAGAATAGTAATAGCTATAAACTACTAAATTTCAAATGTGTAAAATGCATTACTTTGAGGAGGGAAGCTAATGTTTTTTGAAATGCTGTATCAGGAGTAAAATAAAATTTAACTTGTGATACTTTATGAGTTATAACTGCTCTATTACTCTGAAATTTAGTAGTATATAAGATAAATAGTGATATATTTAAGAATGCAGGTTAGAAATAATTCTATAAATTATCAAATGAGGGAGAGCTCTGGTGGCCTAGTGGCAAGGAGCTGCAACTACAATCCCAGAGGAAAACAGTTCGAATCCACTGGATGCTCTGCCGGGAAAGGAGGGACAATCTCCTGTACCAGTCAGATCTGATTTGACAGTACACACACACACACACACACACACACACACACACACAATTATCAAATGAGGTGAGCTCTGGTGGCCTAGTGGCAAGAAGCTGCAACTGCAATCTCAGAGATGCATGGTTCGAATCCACCAGATGCTCTGCTGGAGAAGGAACAATCTCCTGTACCAGTCAGATCTGATTTGACGGTACACACAAAAAATACTGAAATAAAATAAATTTAAAAAAAATTATCAAATGAATTATTTTTCAATCTATGATTATAAGAAATTTAGAAAACTACAAATGCTAAAATTTATCTGCAGTTAGATACCTCCTGAATAGTCTCATAAATTATTAAATACAATTCAAAACTAGCAACCTAGTACTGTATTTAATGGCTATATAAATGGTTTCACTACTTTTCTAATGCTGAAAATTTTAGTTTGGTAAACATTTCAGAAAGAATCACTGCATACCTCTACTTAAACGGTTGGTGTTGCTGGCACCTGCTTCACCAGAGCGTCTCAAGTCCTGCTCTTGCTGAAGTCTTTGTATCATGCTGTCTAATGGGCTGATCTCTTGGTTCGCCTGCTGACTTAAAACTTGGTTCAGTCCTAAATACCACACAAAATGTAAGGACAAATTAATCATCAATCCATTTTAGTCAAAAATCTCATGTATTAAAAGACTAGTGCCCTAGTGCTAAGCAACTACACTGTAATTCCAAAGGCATGTGGTTCGAATCCATGAGAAAGATGGGCAATCTCATCTCATCTATTTAAATGCCTCTGAAAACCCGCCAGAGGGTCAACTGTGGATAGGTTCTGAGTTCATGGTACACAGCAGCAACAACTTATTAATGAAGATTACCAAAAAAAAACCACGAGTATCTAAAAAAATTAATGAAAATAAAAATACTAAATTTATAGCAACGTTTTCATTAACTGAAATACTTCTATAATATTCACAGTAACTTAACAAAATAAGCATCATTTTTAAAGTAGTTTTACAAATGAAAAACAGCTAAGAGAGCAAAAGGAGGGTTCAACTGAGGTCTTATTTTTAAAAAGACAAATCTCTTATATTAAAAAAACCTAACATCCTCAACTTTTTCAGCGCCTATTAATCAGTGACAATGTCATAAAGTGGCGATAAAGACTACAGTAAGGTTAAGGAAGGAACAAAAAACATTTTGGAATTAAAGACTCAATTGGATTCACATGGTACAAAGGAAGACAAATTACATTAAGTTTATAAGGAGGTTCTCCTTCCAAGAATCAACTCTTCTAACAAGCCCAAATTATGTGAGGCAAAGCTTCATCATCTTTGCCTCCAAGGCGCACCCTGGCTATACTTCCAAGATGTATCTGTCTTTTTGGCAGTCCAAAGAAAATTCAGTACTCTCGTCCAACACCACAGCTCAAAGGCATCAATTCTTCTCCCATCAACCTTATTCATGGTCAGATACATAGTAAATGATTAAGAAGACCATGATGTGAATCATCACAGTAACCCACACTTGTCTAATGGTGACAGGTTAAAATTCAAAGGGGCTGTGAGCAGCATTTCAGAAGCTGTATTAACGATTAAGAATTGAATCCATTTTCCAAACTGAGATCTCATTTTGAGAAGAGAAAAAAAGTCATTACAAAAGAGGAGAAAGAAAAAAAAACAACGGATGCCAGGACAAAGTATGAAAATTAGAGCGCTGAGAAGTCAACACAGAAGGAAGAAATGTCGAAGCAAAAGGGCTGAACAGAAGATTTCAAAGGGCAGCTTGAGAAGATAAAACTAAATATAATGAAACAAGCAAAGAGCTGGTGTCAGAGGCTGAAAAGGATGAATGTGCTTGGCATTTCTTAAGCTGAAATATCTCAAGAACAAATTCAAACCTCAAGTGTGCAATACTATTCTATGGGCACAATCTTGAATGAGTCAGAAAATACCAAAAGACAAGAAAGGAATACAAAGAATCACTGTACCGAAAAGAATTAGTTGACACTGAAAAAAGGAGGGTCATGTGTGAAGTTGTTAAGATTTTGGAAGGTAGATATTCTTGTTGGTGTGGACAGTTTGGTTGGGGTTTTTTTCCATTCATAATCAAGTGTGAGTTGATTTGATTTGCTGGATTTAGCTAACAATGAGCTGCGGACTGGAAGCTTCTTACTTAGAGTCAACCAGAACTTAGTGGTCAGCCTTTGTATTTAAAAGGTTGGGAGTGGTGTTGAGTTCGTTTGGGATGAACATTATTCTAAGTGGAACAGCACTGGTCTGTCAATATGCTATAGTAACCAGGGGTTGCTGTGATGCTGGAGGCTGTGCCATTGGTGTGTCAAAATGCCATAGTGGTTACCCATTCATTGTGGACAGTGTTCGGTGGCGCACCCAGACTGATTCAGGTTTGTATGCAGGAGTGGCATCAGTTCCTATACAACATGACCCTGGAAACTCTATGAACACAGAGAAACTATGATAGCTATAGAACAGTGTTCAGGTCTTTTGTTTATAGGGTCACTACGAGTCATGCTCAACTCAATGACACTTAACAACCACCATATGAAGAAAAGCCAAAGGTGATGAAGGATGAAGTTCAAGTGGCACTGTAAGCAATGGCAAAAAAATAAGGGCCCAGGAATCGATGGAATACCAATTGACATGTTTCAAGTAACAGATGCTGGTCGATGCTAAGAAATTTGGAGGACTGCTACCTGGCCAACTGAGTGGAAGAGATCCATTATTTGTCTCTATTCTCAAAAAAAGGTGATACAAACAGAATATGGAAATTATGGAAGAATATCAGTAATATTTATATAAACAAATTGCGTAAGATCATTAAAAAGTGGCAGGAAGTGTACAGACAGGGAATTACCAGAAGTTCAAGCTGGTTTTAAAAGAAGATGCAACACTAAGGTTATCACTGCTGATGTCACATGAACCCTGGCTGAAAGAAGAGAATACAGTAAGAATGTCTATTTGTATTTTAGTGATTATGCAAAGGCATTTGACTGTGTAATCATTATATAATAATTATGGCTAACTTTGAGAAGAATGGAATTTCAGAACACTTAATTGTGCTCTTATAGGATCTATACCTAAACCAAGAAGATGTTGTCCAAATGCAGCAAGGAAGGGAACAATGTATGGTTACATCAGGGATATATCCTTTCTCTGTACCTATTAAATCTGTATGCTGAACAAGTAATTCATGAAGCTAATCTCTACAAAGAAGAATGTGGCATCAGGATTAGAGGAAGACTCATCAAGAACCTTCATTATGCAGATGACACAACTTTACTTGCTGAAAGTGAGTTGATATGAAACACTTGCTACAGAAAATCAAGGACTAAAGCCTTCAGTATGAATTATGTTTCACTAAGAAAACAAGGTCCATACAACAGGACCAACATTCAATATTATGGCAGATAGAGAAAGGAAGCTGTCAATGATTCCATCCTGTTTGGATCAATTAACACCCTTGATACAAGAAGTCTGAAAATCAGAAGATACATTGCCTTGGGCAAGTCTACTGTAAGAAAACTCTACAAAATAGTAAAGAGCAATTATGTCATTTTGGAGGGTGCCTGACTCAGGCCACAGTCCTCTCAATCACTTGCTATTCATCAGAGAGCTGGACAACAAATAAAATAACACAAATATTATTGATGTTTGAGCTGTGGTGCTTGAGGAAGAGTACCAAGTATCTCATGGACTGCCGAAAGCACAAACAGATATGACATGGGAAATGTTTATGTAGCCTGAGGAAAGAATGGTTTGGGCAGATAGCTAGGTGAGCCTATTGCTTGGAAAGATAGAGATGAAGTGACCTGTGACATCAGCAATAGGCTCTAGTAAGTCAGAGAAGATGCAATGTACAAGATAGGGCAGGGTTTACGTCAACTATTCAGGATCACTCTGAATAGTTCCTGACTGAACAGTGTCTAACAACAGCAGCAGCAGCTTCCTTCATGGTGAGTTCTGTGTGACCACTTCAACGGATTACAGCACCCTGCAATAAAGCAGTAAGAGCACACAAATGGAATGGGTATTATGTCAGTATCAGCAGTAGTGTGGGAGCATGGTGGCATGTCTATTGTGGATGAGGACTCTTCCTCCTTGTGGAATTAGTGGAAGTCAGAGCCTATTCCTCTCACATTGTTTAAAGCTAGTTATCAGGATTTTATGTCTTTTTCCAACTAAACAGTAAGTTAAAGAACATATATATATACATATATACCAAATATTACCCAACTATTTCATAGGCAATGAATAAAATGTTTATTCTCATCATTGCTTTCAGACATGTCTCTTGAGTATATTCACAATCCTGGGTCAGACAGTAATTCTACTTTTAGCTTTCTGATGGACTAACAACTAACATAAACTGTTTTTGTCAACAGATTATGTATGCCCACTAACAATGTCTAAGTGTTTTAATTTCCAATCTTTCTCTCATTGCCCTACTCATAGGTGACCCTCCAGCATTTTTCTAAGACTGTTTTCTTTAACAGGAAAAGATTGCTCATCTTTCTATCCTAGAGCCACTGGTAGTCTGAGTTGTCAGAGAAGTGCAGCCTTTAGATTAGCAGCACAATTCTCTACCTCATTCTCATCCTGAAGACTGAAATGGGATCTCACTGTAATTATTAACTTGCATCCCTACGATGACTAATGGTGTTTCATGTGTTTGGAGGCCATTTAAACGACATTTTTGGTAAAATGGTTTTTGTATTTATTTTTAACTGCATTTATCAATCATTCTAATCCAATCTCTGTCTCTGGTGAAATCTCAATCTCACTAGCTTAAAATCTGCCAAATGCTCTGCAGGAGAAGGATGGGCAATCTCCTCCAGCGTGATTTAAGCCTCTGGAGAATTAAACCCACTGGAGAATCAGCTATGGGTAAGTTCTAACTCGATGGTATACAACAATAACCCACTCTATAAGGAAAAAAAAAAATCTATATGGGTTTAATTAATAAAATAAAGTAAATTCTCAATAGTACTAATTAATTTGGTAACCAAATATAGGACCAGCTTATTAGCCCCTAGAAATTATAAAGAGAAACAGATTAAAATTGCTTTAAATATTCAATAATCCTTAAATAGCATGTAAATAGTAAGACTTATTCAGAGAAATTTAAGGTAGTATAGAGCAATACTTTTGTTTTCATTTTCTCAGAAGACCTAAACACTAGTATTTACTCAACTAACAATTTTTAAGTATTTCAACAGAATGATACAGATGATCTACAAAATCTAACACCAACCTGAGGAAGTTACTCCCATCTGGGGGATGAGCTGCTCCTCTCTGCAATTTTCACGACCAGGAACTAATCTCTGATATCTTGATGGATGAGGGTTACCATCAACATCAACTAAAAAAGGGGGAGGCATGAGATGAGGTGCTTGCTGAGTCTGTTCATCTAATACAAAATTGTTAGCATCACGGATAAGGGGCCGGTAATCACTATGAAAAAACATCTGATCTGCTATCTGTAAAAACAAAACAAAACAAAACAACAAAAAATAAACACATAAAAGACTGAAGAAATAAAAATGTACTGTTATATATAAAATCTACACATTTCTAATGGAATAATTTTCTTGAATTGACTATACATAAAGTAAGTATTAAGTATTTAATACCTCTATATGTAATTATTATGGCTATCAACTGTATATAAGTGTTTATATGCCTATGAAATATTTATGAAAAATATAAAGCAACAGATCATATAATTATCAGCTAAAGCTATATATTACTTATTCTCCTCATTGCTTTTGAATAGGAACTAACTCGGAGTTGACCCTCCAGGGAGTATTCCAAGGTTGTAAACAGCAAGGGAGGAGACTGCTCATCTTTCTCCCCAAGAGAACATGTACTCTTAATTTTACCTCATTATGACAAGCTATACAGAAAATACATAGCTTTGCATTTTAAAAGATATTTTCAGTGAGTAGCGAACAAATTTTACTTGATATAGTTTGAAATGGAGTTTTTAAACATCAACAAGTTTTCCTTGAATAATGTTTAAAAAAAGCTCCATTTCAAACTCTATTAAAATGTACATATACAACAATTTGGATATGCCTTTTCTCTTAAGTCTGTAGGCTCTATAAGCATTTCCCTTATATTTAGGGTGAGAAAAAACTTGCTTTCTCTGAATCAAGGAAGACAACACAAACATGTTAATCTCGAACTTCTTTAAACACTGTATTAAGCTATAGCAGTAAGAGAAATTAAAAAAAAAAATACACAGAGCAGTACTTCTGCTTTTATTTGCTCGGAAAAATTAAATTTAAAGTGTTTTTGTAAAGTTATCTATGGAAATTTGAGAGCTCTAATGGAGTAAGGAGTACTGTTAACACAAAGGCTAGCAGTTCAGATTTACCAGCTGCTCGCCAAGAAAGAAAAGATGGGCAACCTTCTACATGATTTGCAACCTCTACAGACTGTCTGGAGGGTCAGCTATGAGTCAGTTTTGACCGAAAAGCAATAAGGGTTTTTAGTTTAATTACAAAATGCATGTTAAAAATGAAATCCAGGGATGAATTATTCAGTAGTAGTTCTGTTTTCGAAGAGCTATGGTATTTTAAACTCTTGAATATGCCAATTATTCACAGAAGAAACTGATTCCCGAAATTAAACTCTTAAAGAAAATGACTTGAGAATTTAGAAAATACATTTAACAACTTTAAGAAAATCTTTAGGTATACAGAAAGTATAATTATGGAACTACTAATTACTACAAAAGTCTAAACCAAAAGCCGTGCACCTCTCAGCTTGTTGAAATCCAAAAGCAGCTCACTGGGAGAAAGATAGGCAATATCCCTCCTTGTGATTTACAACCTCAGAAACCTGCTGGACGGTAAGCTACAAATTGGTTCAGACTTTATGACAACAAGTCAGTTGTTTTCTAAGATTTTCTAAGAATTAATATATACTGTCTCTCTCATTTTTGAGGTTATATATATATATATCACTTTAACACAAAAAATCCATCTAAATAATTTAGATAAAAATTTTTAAGAGAAGCCTTTAATATGCACATTTTAAAAAGTCTTATGAAAGATGTAGACTGATATTCCAAATAAATGTTTATTATCTATAAAATGTTTTACATGATTTGAAACATCTTCTGTACAGGCATCTCCCATCCCTAGCTTATATATCTCAAATTAAATGCTGTAATCTAAATGACTCAAAATAAGGAAAAATACAGATGTTTTAAGATACAGTATAACTGTTGTTTATGAATTTAGCATGAGATTTCATAACAGCTTTCATTAACCTCATGTGAAAACCAGAAGTCTGCAAACTATTTAAAATAGTACCCTTCAAAGTTTATGATGAATGCAAAATGCAAATAAATGGGATTCTCTTTTACCTCCACCAAACTAGCCCAATCCAATTTCTAATTATCTATGGAATTAAAACTAAACAAATAAAAAAAAAATTCATATTTATTACACCCTACCTTATCATATTTGCTACTGGAGCCAAAGCCAAATATTAAGAGATGTCCATGAGAGTCTGTACATGCAAAATGCTGGCCATCAGGAGAGCATTTGCAGTCAAATACTGCACCATGTCCTTGGCCTTCAATCTGAAATATATTTAATCAATAATCAAAAGTTGCCATTAACATATTAAGAACGAGTCACTAGTTACTACGTGGAGATTAAGTGCAGTAATTACAATATGGTATTTTTATTTGTGAATATTCATAAAAATTTTAAGATTAATTACCTTGAAAGACAAAATACTTAAGTTATCCATAGCCCATACAAAATGCAGGAAAACATTAGTAACAACAATTCTCCCCCACCCATAGAATTCTGCACCTGTTTAACCCAGATTTAAAAACAGAATTTTGCTTAATGTTCTACCTAGGTCCATCTAAATACTACTTTTTCTGAAAAGGCTTAATCTTAAAACATTCAGCAATGGTACCGATTTTTCTTTTTGTTTTTTATATTTCTTGGAAGTAGCAGCCAGAGATCACTCAGAAGCAGCTCAGAAGACATTAAAATTTTTTTGGTAATAAATTCCCTAGTGGCCTGACTCATCTTTTAAATGATGAATTTTAAAGGTTAAAAAAAAAAAAAGGTAATTTTTTTTTACCTGATAATTGTTTTCTGTTTTCCAGTTCCATTAATCCAGAACGAATGGGTTTCTCCCTGCAACCTGTCAATCAAACAGAGGTGGCCAATCACCACTCTGAATTTTTTTGCTCTCAGTGCTTCTTCAGACTATGTTCCAGTTGAAACCTTCTTTAGTAGTGTTTCTGTAAGAGGTAAAAATCTACCCTATCTAAACCACATCTAGGGACTGAATTTCAGGAAACAACTAAAATAGGGAGTTAACTCCCTAACAAATAACAACTAAGGGTGACTTTTAACAAAAGAGACTGGATTTCTGGATTAGCAGAATCGGAACACATACACATTATCAGGTAAGAAATATCTCCTCTCTGTTCCGGTATCCACTGATCTAGAACAAATTTACTTTTATTAGCAATATTCCAAGAAATGCTTTGAAATAGAAAAGTTGTAATTTTATTTAGTATTAAAAATGCTGAAAATAAAGTACATTAAATACAAAAATAAAGTTAAAATTTAGAAGAAAAGCTCAATCAATAAGGAAGATTTCTATTCTAGCCAAAAGAGAAATATGACTCTTAATGAATTTTCCTTAATTAAAACCACAAATGAAGCTGCCTCAAAAAGAAAACCAGTGTTTTCCTTTGGCTTATAAAAAGTAGACTCGTATACTGGTGCTTTTTAAGTTCTCTAATCATGATAACTATGAAAAACAAATAGATTTCCTTAGAACACTATCTAAGGTCAAATAGTTATCACAAAAGCAAGAAAAAATATTTAATGCAAAACCAAGATTATTAGTTGGTGGTAAAGGAAGGTGGAGGATAACAAGAAACCAGAAGGTAGTCAATAATTTCAAGCCTATTTTAAAACTATTTAAAAATAAAATAGAACTGGAATTCCTTTCAGATTTTCTAAAGAAAACTAGTAGTCTCATAATTTATTATTTATCAAATATGGAAGAGTAGAAGTAGAAATGTCAGGATTCAAGTCTTGATATTATTCTCAAAATAAAACCAGTAAGCTACTTTAAATAAGCAAATGAATCAAGTTTTCCTTAAATAAATCTTTACAAAAAAATATCAAAGAATTGATACTGACTTTGACTATCTGTGCTTATATTTACTTATCTCAGTTCAAAGCAGAAAACAAAAATACCACCTATTTTATAAACTAACAAATGCTGCTAGGACCATTAACAGTAGTAAAATTCTGGGTAGACAGGAAATCAAAGTAAGAGGTCTGAATAAACTTCAACTCAGCAATGCCAACAGAACTTTGGCAGATATCTATAAGCATAGTATTCATTATGTAAGTCAAACTTGACGACAGTTTTTTTGAGTTGTGGTATGCTAATGAATCAGTAAGAAGCAGCGCTACAATTCCAAAGGCATAGGTTTGAATATGCAATCTACTCTGTGGAAGGAACATGGGCCTTTCCTCTCTTGCAATCTACTGCTTCTGAAAACCCACGATAGACAGCTGAGTCGGTTTCAACTAGACAACACACAACACTATCTACCAATTTTCTCCACACTATCATTTAGATCTTGACGAGAAACTAGCACCGAATTTACAAAGCCAACACCGCTCTTCATTATTAAGATCACTGTATATTCTATGGAATATAGTTGACTGAGACTATAATAGGATAATACTAATTTTCTTGATGGAAGGAATAGGTATGAATTCCAAAGTGACCTTTACATTTCAATGATCTTAAAGAGAGGAATGTTGTTGTTATGTGCCATCGAGTCGCCTGCAACTCATAGCGACCCTATGTACAACAGCCCTAAACTCTGCTGTCCTGTGCCATTCGCACTGTCTCTGACAACACTCCCATCCCAGTCATGCATCAATCCACCTCACAGAGGGCCTTCCCCTCCTGCGCTGTCCCTCCACCCTCCCAAGCATGATGTACTTCCTTCAAGGACCGGTCTCTCCTCACAGCATGTCCAAAGTATGTTAGATGGAGCCTCAGAATCCTTGCCTCCAAGGAGCCACCGGGTTTAACCCTTTCCAGGACGAATCTGTTTGTTTTCCGAGCAGTCCATGGTATTCTCAATACTCTTCTCCAGCACCACAGCTCAAAGGCATCAATTCTCCTTCTATCCTCCCTGGTCATTGTCCAACTCTCTGATGCATAACAAGTGATTGCAAAGACCATGGCCTGTATCAGATGCACCGTAGTCTCCAGAAAGACACCAATGCTCTCCAGTACTTTGGAGAGGTCCCTAACAGCAGACTTTCCCATGGCAATGCGCCTTTTAATTTCCTGGCTGCTGGTGCAAAGACTGTTGACTGTGGAGCCAAGCAGACTAAAGCTGTGAACACTCTCAATCTCTTTACCATCCATCCTGATGCTGCCAATTGGTCCAGTGGTGAGAATCTTTGTCTTCTTGACATTGAGCCTCAATCCATATTGGAGGCTGCAGTCCTTGACCCTCTGCAGCAGGTGCTTCAGGTCCTCTTCAGTTTCAGCAAGCAGGGTTGTGTCATCTGCATAACGCAGATTGTTGATAAATCATCCACCAATCTTGACCCCACATTTCTCCTCATAGACCCCAGCCTCCCGGATAATCTGTTCTGTATATAGGTTGAAAAGGTATGGAGATAGGATGCATCCCTGGCGTACGCCCTTCCCGATTTTGAACCATGCAGTGTTCCCTTGCTCCTGGACTTCCTCCTGGTCCAAGTATAAGTTTCGCATTAGAACGATCAAGTGTTCTGGGATTCCCATTCTTCTCAGAGTCAGCCACAGTTTGTTATGATCCATACAGTCAAATGAAATAGTGACATTTATTTAGATTAGTAGGTCATTGAAGAAAGTATTAATAGAATCTGCTTTAATCATGAATGAAAAAGTTAACATTAGCTTTAGGAATAAAATACTACACTGATCTTATGATTTCTGAAATAAAATGATACAAAATGAAGCTAAATTATTCAGGGATTAACAAGTGAGGAAATACTTTATTTTCCCTCAACTCTTGAACTTTCTGCTGTTGAATCAGATTGACTCATCGTTGACCATACAGCAGGTTTCTGAAGGCTGTAAACTGAATGGTAAAAGACTGTTAACCTGTCTACCAAGAATTTGAAATTTGCCAAGGATGTGAAATTCAAGAGAGGTACCACTACTGGATTAAGAGTATAGCTCCATATGAACTACAATAAAGAGCTTCCTTTATTTTTCCTATAGAACTAAAAATATCTTGGTTATTCTTCTGAGTTATAAACAATGCATAAAAACCAAACCGAGTTACGCATCTCTCCCTGAAGCAGATTTTTACCAAGACTGAAGTATTACAAGTGATAATTCTTAAAAGAAAACTTTAATAGTGGAGGTACCATTTAAAAAAAAAATACATATATATATATACATATACATATATATAAAAATATTTAACTGGAAATTGTTACAGCTCATTCTTACAAATCAAAGGAATACTTTATATCTAATGTCAAATGTGCTTATCACAAAATCAAATCTATTAAACAAGATAATGAGTCAACATAAATTTTATTATTACATATTGGTCATGATACTTTGTATATAGTACTTTACAGAAAATGACAGAACAGAAATACAGTATTTTCAAAACAAGGAAATTTTAGATCAGTATTTCCTCTAACAAATATACTTGTAAAATGTCCTATTTTTAAACAAACTTATGCCTTTTACATTTGTTTGCCAATACCATTCCCCTGGATATACATTTTATGTGTAGTATCTAAACTGGTTTGTTTGGGGGTTTTTTGTTGTTGTTACAGCAGCGTTATTTTAAAAACAGCAACATAAGTAAATGGCACTGGACACTTAAAATGTCTCCTAGGAGAAATAAACTGGCAAACAAGACTAAAAAGCATTTGTTACCCTACTAAAAGTTCATCACTGGGGTAAATGCATTTGAATCATATAATAAAATACATATATATTAAAATATAGTAAGGTATATCTGAGATAATTCATTAGGTAAAAGTTATGAATAAATTTCAAGAATAAGAGAAAAAAATTAGAAAACCAATAATAAAGAATATTACTTTTTAAGTTAAAGGGTAAATAATCATATTGTCAAATAAAAAGTACAAGATATGAAACCATCAATTGCTCCACAGGAGAAAGTTGGGTAATCTCTCAATCTCCTCTTGTGCTATCTACTGCCTCTGAAAACCTGATGGTAGGTGAGCTATGGGTCGGTTCTGACTAAATGGTACACATCAACAACAATAAGCAAAAGATGAGAAGGCAGGACAAATTAAAACACTAAGAATTTCTTAAACGATTGTCATACTAACTAAAGAATACTAGACATATTATCAAAACATGACTAATATAATTTTATTAGGAATTTTATGATTTATAATTAACTTTAAATATTTAGTATAAAAAGGGTTTTGATGGTGGTATAATGGTTGTTTAATGAATATAGTATGTATTTTTATCAAGTCTAGCAACTCTAAAAAACTTTTACGTCTTTTAGAATGCCAGGATAAGTAACTA